AATATCCCCCTACTGCTTAGATGGAAAGTCATACCACCTTAAATATCACTTAAAAGCATAGATAGAAATTCATACCACCTTAAATATAACCTAACAGCATAGATAGAAAGTAATACCACCTTAAATATTACCTAACAGCATAGATAGAAAGTCATACCACCTTAAATATCACATAACAGCATAGATAGAAAGTCATACCACCTTAAATATAACCTAACAGCATAGATAGAAAGTCAGACCACCTTGAATATCCCCCTACTGCTTAGATGGAAAGTCATACCACCTTAAGTATCACTTAAAAGCATAGATAGAAAGTCATACCACCTTAATTATCACTCAAAAGCATAGATAGAAAGTCATACCACCTTAAATATAACCTAACAGCATAGATAGAAAGTCATACCACCTTAAATATATCCTAACAGCATAGTTAGAAAGTCAGACCACCTTAAACATCCTCTAACAGCCACCTTAAATATCCACCACAGCGGAGAAGGAAAGTCAGACCACCTTAAATACCAACTAACTGACAGCATAGATGGAAAGCCAGACCACCTTAAATACCCCCCACAGTGGAAAGGGAACACCAGACCACCTTAAAAAAAAACACAGCGGCGAGGGATAGCCAGACCACCTTAAATACCCCCACAGCGGAGAGGGAATGCCAGACCACCTTAAATATCCCCTAAAAGCCACCTTAAATATCACCCAACAGCATAGATAGAAAGCTAGACCACCTTAAATATCACCTGACAGCAGTCTATAGAGGGAGGAGAGGTGCATCATGGGAGTCAGGAGAGGTGCATCATGGGAGTTTGGAGAGGTGCATCATGGGAGTTTGGAGAGGTGCATCATGGGAGGGAGGAGAGGTGCATCCTGGGAGTCTGAGTGCATCATGGGAGGGAGGAGAGGTGCATCATGGGAGTCTGAGTGCATCATGGGAGTCAGGAGAGGTGCATCATGGGAGTCTGAGTGCATCATTATCTTAAACCAGCTACGATAGATAGATAGATAGATAGATAGATAGATAGATAGATAGATAGATAGATAGATAGATAGATAGATAGATAGATAGATAGATACTTTATTGATCCCCAAGGGGAAATTCAAGGTCCCAACAGCTTAAGACATCTTATCTTCTAGCTGCTTTTCAGCTCCTGAGAATCTTTAGACCCAAACAAAACCAAACAGGGGAAGCTACTTCCTGTTTCCTCAGGATTCTGAGTGCATCATGGGAGTCCAGAGGGAGGAGAGGTGCATCATGGGAGTCTGAGTGCATCATTATCTTAAACCAGCTACTTATAGCTACTTTTCAGCTCCGACCTGAGGAACTTTAGACCCAAATGAGCCGAAAGAGGAGAATCTACTTCCTGTTTCTTCAGGATTCTGAGTGCATCATGGGAGTCCAGAGGGAGGAGAGGTGCATCATGGGAGTCAGGAGAGGTGCATCATGGGAGTCTGAGTGCATCATTATCTTAAACCAGCTACTTTATCCTATAGCTGGTTCTCAGCTCCGACCTGAGAAACTTTAGACCCAAACGAACCGAAACAGGAGAAGCTACTTCCTGTTTCCTCAGGATTCTGAGTGCATCATGGGAGTCCAGAGGGAGGAGAGGTGCTTCATGGGAGGGAGGAGAAGTGCATCATGGGAGTCTGAGTGCATAACGGGAGTCAGGAGAGGTGCATCATGGGAGTCTGAGTGCATCATTATCTTAAACCAGCTACTTTATCTTCTTGCTGCTTTTCAGCTCCTGGGAAACTTTAGACCCAAACGAGCCCAAACAGGAGAATCTACTTCCTGTTTCCTCAGGATTGGAGACTCTGACTCTGTTTGTTTTTTCCCTCCTCTTCCTCCAGCTTTCACCTTCTTCGACCCCAACGACCCGGCCTGCCAGGAGATCCTGAGCGACCCGCGGACTAGCGTCCCGCAGCTGTTCGCCATCGTGCGCCAGTGGGTGCCCCAGGTGCAGCACAAGATCGACCTCATCGGCAACGAGGTGGGGCCTTAGCTTAGTGTAGCTTAGCTAAGTGTTGCTTAGCTTAGTGTTGCTTAGTTTAGTGTAGCTTAGCTTAGTTTATTGTAGATTATCTTATTGTATTTTAGTTTAGTGTAATTTAGCTTATTGTAGCTTAGTTCATTGTAGTTTATCTTAGTTTATTGTAGATTAGCTTATTGTATTTTAGCTTAGTGTAATTTAGCTTATTGTATCTTAGTTCATTGTAGTTTAGCTTAGTTTATTGTAGATTAGTTTATTGTAGCTTAGCTTAGTTTATTTTAGCTTAGTTTATTGCATCTTAGCTTAGTTTATTGTATCTTATTTTACTGTAGCTTAGGTTATTGTAGCTTAGCTTATCTTCTTCTAGCTTAGTTTAGCTCATCGTATTGTAGCTTCATTTAATTTATTGTAGCTTAGCTTAGCTTATTATAGCTTACTTTATTGTAGCTTATCTTAGTTTATTGTAGCTGAGTTTATTATAGCTTAACTTATTGTAGCTTAGCTTAGTTTATTGAAGCTTAACTTATTGTATCTTAGCTTATTATAGCTTAGCTTAGTTTATTGTATCTTAGCTTAGTTTAGTTTATTGTAGCTTAGCTTGTTGTAGCTTAGTTTAGCTCGGCTTATCGTAGTTAGCTTAGTTTATTGCAGCTTAGCTTATGCAGTCTTAGCTTATTGTTGCTTAGCTTAGTTTATTGTAGCTTACTTTAGCTTATTGTATCTTAACTTAATTTATTGTAGCTTAGCTTAGCTTATTGTAGCTTAGTTTAGCTCATCTTATTGTAGTTCAGTTTAGCTAATTTTATTTGAGCTAAACCTAATATATCTTAGCTTATTCTATCTTAAAAAAAGATGTGCTCTGACCTCTGACCCTGATGCAGAACACAGTCAGCAGCTAATGCTAACGCTAACCCCAGTGCTTCCCCTCCTCCGCTGTAGATCCTGAAGCGCGGTTGCCATGTCAACGACCGCGACGGCCTGACCGACATGACGCTGCTGCACTATAGCTGTAAAGCCGGAGCACACGGAGTCGGTGAGCGTCTTCCACTGCTTTTATAATTCCCTTCAAACACGTGCAGACTAGGGTTGTCACGATACAAAAATTTTCAACTCGATACCGATACTCAGGAAAATACTCGATACTCGATACCATTTTCGATACCACAAGAATAAAAACAAAGACCCCAAAATTTAACTGAATTTTGACAGGTTAGTGTATTTCATTTCAAACTGACCTGTTACTGATGTTATGGTGGCTGGTGGCCCGAATTAATTACCCTAATCCTGACCCTAACCCTTCATAATTGTGAGAAACAATTTTGGGGTTAAACTTGTTTGGACTTATTGTACAAACCTATTTAACATCCACTATTTTAACTTAATGTTATGGATAGAGTTTAATTAAGTGTTTGAAAGATTAATTTAATTATTTTTAAATTAATGTCTATATTGCCATGATGCATTACTATTTTCTTACCTGGGATTTCCCTTTTGGTGACGTAATCAAAATGGCCGATTTGGATGTGGGCTGAGACGGATATGTACTTGATTAATGGTAGCATGTTATTATTAGCCATTAGCCGCAGCTAGCAGTTCAAGGCTAACGTCACGTTAATGATCATAAACAACGTAAATAAATACATAAATAAATCTGAAAGAAGGAGCGCAGCGACGGCAGGTCAGCGTCGCGCGCGGGCTCGCGCGGTGGTATCGATACTTTTGAAAATGAGTATTGTATCCGGATACAACATTTTAGTATCGATACTTTTTTAAGTATCGATACTTTTGACAACCCTAGTGCAGACTCAAGTGGTTTCCTTTTACTGGTTTATTTGAAGTCCTTGGCAATCTCCAAATCCTCCGTGGAAAACTCGCAATGTTAGCAAAAACACACAAACATCAATGACAAATAATAACCTGCATAGCATAGAAAATTATACTTAAAAAGCAAAGAAATTAAAAAAATAAAATACATAGTTGGTTGCATGCTGCGTAAAAAAAAGGGAATTGTATAAACTTTTATATTCCAGTACGCATTAGCCTTAACTTCAGATAATATTCTTCTTCTTCGGCATCTCCGAGAGCTCAGAACAGGACTTAATTTCAAAATAAAAGCGCCGTTCTCTAAACTTCAAAACAAAAGCAAATACACTCGATTCTAAATAATACAATATAAAACAAATCCAACTTACATAAATTCCAATAAGACAAGTACCATTGAAAGAATAACAAATTATAGACTTATAAGATTTAAACAGTATGACAACAATTACAGCTTGCTTCCCTCTCAGGGACAGTTGAGGGGTTTCTGTTAGCTTAGAATTTGAACATTTGTGTGTAAATTTGAACATTTTTGGAAGAACTTCGAACATTCCTGAAGGAAATTTCTGTTAGAATTCACACATTTCTGCATGAATTTGAACAAGCTTCAAACAAGATTCCCTCTCAGGGACACTTATGTCCCAGAGACCTCACACATCTCTGAGGGGGTTGAATGTTTCTGTTAGAAGTCACACATTTCTGCAGGAATTTGAAAATTTGTGTTCGAATTTGAAAGTGTTTGCTGGAATTTTTTAAAATTTCTGTTAGAAGTCACACATTTCTGCATGAATTTGAACAAGCTTCAAACAAGATTCCCTCTCAGGGACACTTATGTCCCAGAGACCTCACACATCTCTGAGGGGGTTCAATGTTTCTGTTAGAAGTCACACATTTCAGCAGGATTTTGAACATTTGTGTTCGAATTTGAACGTGTTTGCTGGAATTTTTTAAAATTTCTGTCAGAATTCACACATTTCTGCAGGAATTTGAAAATTTGTTAGAATTTGAAAATCCCTGCAGAACATTTATTCTGCAATTTAAACATTTCTGAAGGGATTTTTTAACATATCTGCTAGAATTCGAAAATGTCTTCAAGAATTTGAACATTTCTGCAGGTGTTTTAATATTTCTGCAGAATTTGAACGTTTCTTCAAGAATTTAAACTTTTCTGCAGAAATGTTAATACATTTAATAAATTAAATGTTAATTTCTGAAGTAATTTTTTAACTTTTCTGCTAGAATTTGAAACTTTCTGAAGGAATTTTTGAACATTTCTGAAATAAGTTTTTAACGTTTCTTCAAGAATTGGAACACTTCTGCAGAATTTTAAACATTTCTGCAGTAGCTTTTGACAATTTCTGCTAGAATTTGAAAATCTCTTCAAGAATTAGAATTTTTGTGCAGGAATTTTCTTCAGGATTCTAAATATTTATTCTAGAATTCTGAATATTTGTTCTATAATTCTGAATATTTGTTCTATAATTCTGAATATTTGTTCTATAATTCTGATCATTTCTTCAGGATTCTGATCATTCCTCAGCCCCCTGTGGCTCAGGCTTATTCCCGCCTAATTCCCGCCTCATTCCCGCCTAATTCCCGCCTTATTCCCGCCTTATTCCTGTCTTATTCCTGGCATATTCAAGGTTTTGTCTCGGCTTATTCCAGGTTTTGTCTCCGTTTTGTCCCGGCCTATTCCCGTCTTATTCCCGTCTTATTCCTGTCTTATTCCTGTCTTATTCAAGGTTTTGTCTCGGCTTGTTCCAGGTTTTGGCCCGGTTTTGTCTCGGCCTATTCTTGTCTTATTCCTTCTTATTCCCGTCTTATTCCCGCCTAACTCCCGTCTCATTCCCGTCTTATTCCTGTCTTATTCCTGTCTTATTCAAGGTTTTGTCTCGGCTTGTTCCAGGTTTTGGCCCGGTTTTGTCCCGGCCTATTCTTGTCTTATTCCTTCTTATTCCCGCCTCATTCCCGTCATATTCCCGTCCTATTCCCGCCTAATTCCCGCCTAATTCCCATCCTATTCCCTTCTTATTCCCGTCTTATTCCCTTCTTATTCCCGCCCTATTCCCGTCTTATTCCCGTCTCATTCCCGCCTTATTCCCGTCTCATTCCCGTCTTATTCCCGTCTTATTCCTGCCCT